TGCAACCCCTAAATTCTGTGATTCTATAAGAGAATTGCTGAGATACTAAAACAGAGTAATAGAGTCTGCTGTAAGTTCTGGAATGACATTGGGAGCTTTGCTTTCTTAATTCTGGCAGCACTTTGGCCTGTGGAGCTGATTTAACTCAGGTGCTGGAAGCACATGAGGTGGGTTTGCCTTGGCTAAATTTTAGATTTTGCTGCTATATTTCTTTATGCTTTATAGAGTAACTGAGCTGCTGCTTTCTATAAGGAAACAAAGCAAACCCAAAACTGTTCCAACCACTACTGGTTTTCAGTCTTTATCTGGTATAGTCACTGCTAAAAAATGTTTCTTCTTCCTTTGAAGGAATGTGTTGAGGCACTCCAAGAGCTTGTGGAGGGACCTGTTGCTGCAGATGAACTTTCACCTGTTGAAAATACAGGAGGTAACCCAAACTTGTATTTTTGCCTTTAGGTAATCTTTCTGTACCTGCACATGGAGTGATGAGTTTTGGATGGGAGTTTAGACAGTCTCTATCTCAGTTGTGCTCACATTTCAGTGCTATTGCTTACTTCCAAAGCTCTTTGCAGAATCTGCAGTGTTTCCCTGTAGTTTAGGTTAACTGGATGATATTTAACTTTGATTTATTTTTCTATGAGTAGCTGATCTGGTCAGACTTAGCTGCTCTGAGTTATTTGGCTTACAGTCTTCACTCTGATACTGTGATGGTTTAAAAAAGCAAACAAGCCAACAACAAAAGCATTGACAGTGATTGTGCATGCCTATGTCCCCCCGAAAGCTGTGTAAGTGCTGATTACTTTGTTGCCAAATCCTCCCAAGGTTAGTTTTCCTGTTGTGTAAAGCAAAGTGCATTTCTATCCTTATCTTGCCATATTTAATAGTCCTCAAGATCAAGTTACTACTCAAGACTAAGGTGGTTAAACATGCTGTGCCTGATATAGATTATGGGGATAACTTCCTCTAAATGTCACTAACTTTTGCATTGAAACTGAATCAAAGTTCTTCTGTTTCATAGCATAACAGAAACCTAACACTGTTTTTCATAACAGCAGAAACTGCCAAAGCTGAACTGATGACAGTTCCTCCTGCTAAAAGGAAGGTTAGTATCTTTAGTGATGAGCTTTGTTTTACTTTGCTTTTTTTAGCTCCTTCAGACAACATTGTTACTTTTATACCTCCTGCTGCTTGTAAGAGCTTTTACACACTCAGGTGTGAGGGTTGTAATATGTACAGTCAGTATATATTCCAGGTGTATGGATGGCTTGGACAGGTGCAGTCTTGTGCTGGGTTAAGAACTGGCACTGGCCAGGCCCAGAGGGTGGTGGTGAGCAGTGCTGTGTCCAGTTGGGGCTGTCACCACTGCTGTTCCCCAGGGGTCAGTGCTGGGCCCAGTGCTCTTTGGATAAGTGGATTGAATGCGCCATCAGCAAATTTGCAGATGACACAAAGTTGGGGGGGAGTGTGGATCTGCTGGATGGCAGGAGGGCTCTGCAGAGGGACCTGGGTAGGCAGACACTGGCATGTGCTGCCCAGGGAGGGGGTGGATTCACCATCCCTGGAGGGTTCTAGGCTGAGACTGGATGTGGCACTTAGTGCCATGGTCTGGTAACCATGGTAGGGTTGGACTTGGTGATCTTGGAGGTCTTTTCCAACACGGTTGATTCTATGATTCTGTGAATAGTATTAGTGCAGGTAATAGTCTTCAGAAATGAAATTTTTGAATAAAAGTGGTTTATCATTAAGAACATTTTTGTTTATAGCCTGATAGTTAAATTTCCTAAATAATAAGCTCTATAATGTTTAATTTCCAGTTGTGAGTGTCTAACTCTTATGACCCTATAAATGAAATGACAACCTGTTTAAGAGACTAATTACAGTTTGATTCTTACACCTGCAGCATTGTGTGTGTCTCTGTGCAAATCTAATGTGTGCATGAGCACCACAACCACTGCAAATCCATGGTCTGTTTCCCCAACAGGGCAGAGCTGTGCCAGAGGAGACTGATGGCATCATCTCAGGAGCCACAGCTAATAAGAATGCGAAGGGCACTAAAACTTCACGAAAGAACAAGTTTCAAGGGCCGAAGAACACAACCACTGCCAAGAGGAGCCGAGTGAGTGCCACTGCAGCTGCTGGTTGCTGCCTTGACTGCTCTAGCCAAGGGTCTCTCCAGTTTTACATGATTTTCCTCTTTGTAGGAGGAAGACTTCTGTCTTGAGTGTTATTTCCTGTTGCTGCCAATATTCTCTTCCTCACACCCATCTTGATTACAAAGAGGGGAAGTGAAGAATAGGACATAGGGGGTGTTCTTAAGGAGAGACAATGCATGGCAGGTCTGTCTTCCACTGCTTTCTCTCTCTGTAGGCTATCCTGGGAATGGTTAGGTTAGATATTAGGAAGGAATTCCTCCCTGTGAGGTGCTGAGGCACTGGCACAAGTTGCCCAGAGCAGCTGTGGCTGCTCCATCCCTGGGAGTGTTCCAGGCCTGGTTGGATGGCGTTGGAGCGACCTGGTCTAGTGGAAGGTGTCCCTGCCCATGGCAGGGGGTGGAACGAGATGAACCTTAAGTTCCTTTCCAACCCACCCCATTCTGGGATTCCACAACTCCATGAATTTACTGTAATGACTTCTTGAAGGTTATTTAGTTTCTCAATTTCTTTAGGCTTCACCTTACTTTCTTTTAAACGAACCAAAAATCAGACCTTGTTTTGATGTTTTAGATTAATTTGCAGGTGGCAGAACAATGGAACCTTCATTTTAGAGGAATCAGTTTGTTATTCATGAAAATCCAGTAATGGTGTCACTCATTTGCTGAAAAATCTTATCATTATATTTCTACTGTGCTCCATTCAAGCTTCTCAATCTTTGCAGAAAACAAAACAAACAAGTTATGGGAAACGTAGAAAGAAAAAAGCAAGAAAATCTTTATTTGGGGAAAGAGAAATGGCATCTAAGAAACCTCTTCTCAGTCCCATCCCTGAAATTCCAGAGGTTCTCTCTTCTGTCTCATCTCCAGACTCACCCAAGGCAAATACACTTTGTTCAGGTAATGTGGATTTGGGATTGTTGTGCTTTGTTCACCCTGTTCTATTTCAACACTTAGATAAAACACCTGTGCATGGTTATCTGTAGTTCTGTGCACAGGGAACAAGCCCAGAGTCTATTTTGTACTTGGAATTGCTTCTGTAGCAGTAGAGTCTCAAGGATCTGGGAGATTAATTATGTCTAACAGGGTGAATTTAACTCTTGTTGATCTCCAGTGTGGAGCTGACAAAACAGCCACTCTGTACTTGGGTACTGAGACTTTCATAGTCCTTCAGACTGGTGAGCTGGGCATGAGGATAAGGGATGTGCAGAGCTTTCTCTTGGGTTTCCCCCACCGTTTACCTGGAGTGGTTGTTTAGGACACTTTTATGTAATAAAATCCTATAAAGCTTTTGTTGTATAACATATTTAAAAGATATTTTCTCTTTACAAGCAAATCCAATTAACCATGTGTTTGTTCTACTTCAGAGGATGAAGTTTTAGATCATCCCAAATCCAGGAATGCTTGCAAGGATGTCCAGCAGGAGCTGGAAGTAGTTGAAAGGATAAGAGGGAAGAACAGCTGTGCAGTTGATGTGTATCCAAGCTCTGAGGACCTGCACATGGAAGAAGCCAGCAGCTCCAGGGATGGAATCCTTCAGGTGTCAGAGGGTGATTTGGAGTCTGGTGCTGGCACTGACCATAAGGTAACTGAGAAGATCAGAGAAATAATGTTTGAGGGGAAGAGAAGCACTAAGAGTGATTAAACATTGGAACAGACTGGAGAGGCCATGGAATCTCCAGCCTTGGAAGGGAGATACTCAGAGCTGACTGAGGCCTCCGAGCAGCCTGGGCTGGTGGGAGGGGTCCCTGCTTATGGCAGGGATGGAACAGGCTTTAAGGTCCTTCCAACCCATTCCATGATTCTGTGATTCTCCAGCAACCTAAGCTTGGCCTCACACTGCAGCAGATCCAACCTGCTGTGTGTCAGTTTCTTGGGGTTTTGGGGCTTGGTGAGGAGAACACTAGCAGTTATCTGGTTGTGAGCTGTTTGAAACAAGGTTTGTGAGTTACTTTTTGTCTAGCTTTAAAAAAATAAGATTATTTCTTCCCCCAGTTTTCAACCATTGTGCCAGATGCAAAGGATGGGTTTGATACACCTGAGTGTTTCCAGCAAGGTGAAGAGGCTGCATGTGAAAAAGAAGCAAAAGAAAGTGATTCCTTGATTGAAAGTGAGAAATTCCAAGGAAATCTCTTAAGTGGGCTAGAATCCCTGGCACAAGAAGCCACTGGTGTACACCAGGAAGCCCAAAGGACTCCTCCAAAAGAGCCTGCAAGAGGCAGTCCAGCAAGAAGAAGAAGAAGCAGTGCCATCTACTTTCC